TTTGCTTAGCTTTTGTAATAAGGAAAATTGATGGGGTGAAATCCATCATATGAGGGGATCAGATGGGTAGAAGAATGGGTTAAAGAGAACCCAGGGCAAGTATACTTAGGTGTGGGAGCAGAGGAGAATCACCTGTGCCTAACACGTGGCTGTAGAGAGGGCAACCTGGTCAGGCCCGCAAGAAAGTTTTTCGGAGCTAAGAGAAAATTCTCCCCATCACTTGAACATAGTGTCAGCCTGGCCACACGATTGCTGTCCCTACGCAGATGCTCCTCTCTCTCATTCTGAAGGATTCCAGAGTCTCTTGGACTAACACTGTGAGTTAACTGTCATGGGTGCTCCTCTAACTGTGGCAGGTGGTTACAGAGAGAGCCCAACTTTGTTTGTGCAGAATGCCTTTCGAGCTTTCAGACAGTTCTTTAAAGATGCTTTAATGGAATGTGAAAATGGAGCTGTTTACTTTGCAATGGTAGAAACAGAAGTTATGTTACCTTGCAGTGAAGGAAGTGAGCTGTGTGAGTCTTACATTAACAACTATGGATGGTTTCTGTTTTTGTATGGCGAAAGCCTGTAAATTACCTAAATTTTAGCAGTGAAGGATTAAATAATCACTTATTGTAGGTCCATACAACATCCTAGAATGCAATCCACCCCATACACACATAATTTTATTTAAAGAAAACTTTTTGTATTATATTGTTGTATTAATATATACATTGTTTATAAGCATAGAAAAGGTATTGTGAGGAACTTTTTTTGTAGTGAAATACACATAAAATTTAAGATTTTAACCATTTTTACTAGTGGTATTAAATACATTCACATTATTGTGCAGTCATCACCAATATCTATAGTAGGGAACTCTTACTCATTTTTGTAGGGTTTGCATCTTTTACAAGAACGTGTTGCTTTTAAAGTAAAAATTGAGGAGGATTACCACCTCAGGCTTTGTTCTATTCTGTGACGCTAGACAGTACCCTTTTTTTTTGCCATCTTTAAATGAGGATAATTGATAGTGCCTCTCTCATTGAACAAATGCATGTGTTTATGTGTGTATTTGCGTTTTTTCAGGTTTTGTACAAAACAAGCACTATACTAAGTGTTGGCTGTTATTTTTACTAGTTATATATGTGTGATCCTAAGGTGTGAAGGGTAAAATAAGACTTCAAAAACCAAATGAAATGCTCCGTGCTGTTTTACAGATTGGATATGGTACTACCAGATAGGATTTAGGTATGAAAGTATAAATAAGTTAATATTCTTAATGAAGTATAATGCACTACTTAGAACATACTTAAAGTTTCTAAAAGATGTACAGTATAACAGTAATAAAAGCAGGCCATTTGCTGTATTAGGTTAACCCCCTGGTTCTCACACAGTGCATCCTTTGCTCACTGCTGTTTTGACTAGATTGACATGGCCTGTGGTAAAAATCAGTTGTTAGTACTTAATTCACCAAAGGAAAAAAGGTAATAGAGTCAAACCTCGTTTCTTGAATGTCTCCTATTTCAAACAATCAGGTCTTGACCAAGTTGTTCAGTTTTCTATCTGACTACCCTACCCTTTCAGGCTGATACCTTAGCATGGCAAAAAGAGCCTCTGACACAACAAGCAAAGGAGAGATTGCCTTTTTTGCTGGTGAAATAAGCGATTAGTACAATTTTATTTTTTGTTTTATTTTTTAAATTATTATCTGTGTACATATCTTACCATTGCCCCCCCCCCCCACTCCCATACATGCCCTCCCTCCCCAGAGTTTTGTGTCCATTGGTTGTACTTATATGCATGTATACAAGTCCTTCGGTTGATCTCTTATCTCCCCCAGATCTCCCTACCCTCCCTGCTGTAATTTGACAGTCTGCTTGTTGCTATACTGTCTCTATATCTATCTTTTGGTTCATCAGTTTATAATGTTCCTTATTATCCATAAATGAGTGAGGTCATGTGGTGTTTCTCTTTCATTGACTGGCTTATTTCACTCAGCATGATGTTCTCCAATTCCATCCAGGTTGCTGCAAATGATGAGAATTCCTTCTTTTTATGGCAGCATAGTATTCCATTGTGTAGATGTACCACATTTTTTTATCCATTCATTTGCTGATGGGCACCTAGGCTGTTTCCAAATCCTAGCTATTGTAAATTGGATTAGCACAATTTTAAAACATAAAGAGACCACTAAGAGTGCTAATGCTGCTAAAAGTATGAAAATGCTCACAAAATAATCACAAGCAATTGAGTAGGCAGAAAAACTGTTGATTGGAGAAATGAAAAGCAATTAGTCAGTGATAGCACTTCAGAGGCCACGATATATTAAGAATCTGTTTAAGGCCTGTCCTTGTGGCTCAGTGGTTGAGCGTGGACCTATGAACCCCAGGAGGTTAAGGTTCATTCCCTGTCAGGGCACATGCCCTGGTTGTGGGCTCGATCCCCAGTGTGGGGTGTGCAGGAGGCAGCTGATAAGTGACTCTCAATCATTTGTTTTCCCCTCTCCCTTCCTCTCTCAAGTTATTAAAAGTATACATTTAAAAAAATTCATTTAAGGATACTAGGGGATGGTTTGATAAATTTAAGAAGTATTTATTTATAAATTAAACAATATATTGGACATGTACTGTATATAAGAAAGATTAAAACAGAGTCATTTGGGAGTCTGGAACAGATTAATTCAAGTTACATTATTTCTAATGAGAAAAAAAATGATTGTTTTCGAACAGATTGCTTTTCAATAGCCATCTGGAAATAGCCATTTGAGAACCAGGGTTCCACTATAATAGTATTTTCCCTTGTTTAAGGATTCTCCTCCCCCCCATAAATTTATCCTAATTTTTAGTGTTTACTAGTATTCCTTCAAAAAGCAAAGACATTTAACTGTAAGATTGGAAATAATATTTCCTGTTTTAAACTTTCTTAATTGGTTGTAGTTTGTTTTGGGGATGATATGTGCTTCTGTGTGTGAGTTGGAATTGCAGATATATGTCATATTTTGTTATTGAATTAAACATGTCTTTGATGTGGATGTTCTCCTACCTTGCACGCTATAGTTTATGGGTTAAAGCACCACTGGCTTACATGGCTTTGGACTGAGTTTATTTACAGAGCTTTTGTAATATCACAAATATGTTCCTTTAGTTGTGTTTTTAATCTAGAATACCTTTTTCTTTTATGCTGTTTCATTTCTGGTTCATATTTACATGATGTGCTATATACATAATGTGCTGTATACATCATGTAAATGGAATGTGGAATGGGTGGAAAATATAAAATAGATCTTCAAAGAGGTCTAATTTCAAATTAATGTTGCCTTTTGAAATGGTTAGAAATGAAGAAAATTACTTTCATGTATGAGTCATTTGAATGCTTTTATGTCATAGTTGTGTCTTAGCTTAAAATCCTATATCTTGTAAATTAGTAATCTGTACATTGCATTATTGCTTCACCTTTAACTTCTCCATAGTCCTAGATATCTGGCTCTGATAATGTGATATTTTCAGTCACTGAGAGTGACTGAAAAATGTTTGCAGTTGATTTCTTACAAATTAACTTCTGTGGGTTTTACATACTTTAATAAACTAGGTAGTAAAAAATATCTTACTGTGACAATTTATTCATTGAAATTTAATCTGTGATTTCCTAAAGCTCCAAACAGGGAAATAAAATATATCAATTTGTATAGTTCTACTTCAAAAAGGAGAATAAATGTATGAGTTTCTGTGGATTGTGGTAGAAATACTGAGTACATAGTAGATCTTTCATTAACAACATACACTGAGTGGCCAGATTATTATGATCTTTGATCGCATAATAATCTGGCCACTCAGTGTGTATGTGTGTGTGTGTGTGTGTGTGTGTGTGTTAGAAGCCCAGTGCATAAATTTGTGCATGGTTGGGGTCCAGCCAGCCTGGCCAGGGGGAGGGGACATGGGCTGTTGGCTGGCCTGCCTGCTGGTCGAACTCCTGGTTGAGGGGACAATTTGCATATTAGTCTTTTATTATATAGTATACAAACTGAGTGGCCAGATTATTATGCATTCAGAGATCACAATAATCTGGTCACTCAGTGTATGTTACATCAAAGAGAGGTGAAATGAAATTGTAAATTGTTAAAATAGAAGCCTGATTAGGATATAAGTCCCAGAGATTGGAGTTGTGATGCTCACAACTGTTATTTGTTGTGGCCACAAAAAACAGAACCATGTGAGATGTTCCATGTCCAGGAATACCATTCTCTGAAACTCCCCGTCACCCTACTCCAATTCCCACCCCTTACACTGTGTAATTTTTACACTAATGAAAAAGATATTTTAAAAGTTTTTTTTTTGAATGATAAGGTAAATAGGAATTGATATAGAATGTCCCCTATCAGAGTCTTTTCTCAGTACAGCTCAGTGGCTTGGTACTGCCAAGAAATGGTTTATTTCAAGTTTTATGGATACTTCATATGGAACCAGTGTATGTTTCTTAATTTTTATCAAATTTTTTTCCTGCGATATTTCAGACATTTTAAATCATCAAAATTTATTCCTATGGTAGATATACCAGTACATGCTATGAAGTGATAGCCAAAACACACACATTTATGAAGAGGCATTTTTTGTAAGAAAATGGTATCAGATCCTAGTTTAGCTAATCAACTAATAAGTAGTGTCTGTCTTACTAGGTAATGGGGATTAAATGAGTCAATATATATAAAGTACTCACAACAGTACCTGGCACATAAGGGATACAGAATAATGTGAATGTATGACACCATTTATTAAAAACTTTATATATATAATGTAGTGTTAGATATAGAATATGGTGGATAAAATTATCTGGAAGAATAAATAAAATTGGAAATGGTTTCTTTGAGTAAGGGGATAGAACCTGAAGTAGAAGGGGAAGATATATTTTGTTGTCAACTTTCTGAACTGTTCTTTTTTTAACCATATGTTTTTAAAATAATGCCATGTTTCAAGTACTAAGAGATTCTACTTTAAGACAAGAATCTATGCTCTTTTTAGATGGTCCTGCTGAGGCACCAGTGACCAATGGGAACACAACCACAGTGCCAGCTCTGAATGATGATCTGGACATCTTTGGACCAATGATTTCTAATCCTTTACCTGCAGCTGTCATGCCTCCAGCTCAGGTATGTTGTAAGAATATGGTTTTACACAATAACTACTTACTTCCTTTCTGAAAGTTTCAGAATTTCCATTGCTGATTTGAAAGCCTCCTATTCTTTATTCCAGGAGTTGGCAAACTAAGCCTGCAGCTTGTTTACACAGTTTTATTAGAATACAGCCACTCCCAGTCATTTGTATATTGTCTGTGGCTGCTTTCCTACTAAAAACTAAGTTGAATAGTTCCAACACTGGATGAATATTTACTGCCTAAAGTTTGCTAACTTTTGCTTTAGGTAAAACAACAGTATTTAGAATGAACAAGTAAGAAAACTCAGACTACTATTTCAGCCTTGTCTGAGATCATCAAGACCACTTACCTCTGAGGTTTTAAACTGGGGGTATATAACTATTGACTGGCAGCCAATAGTTCTTTTCTTATGCTCTATTGAGCCATCCCCAAAATACTATGTACTAGTAAGAGTTTCAATCTACCTGCTCTACATTAATACATTCAAAATAGTAACTATCATACCTTTATCCTAAATGTTTTTGTGTGGCATTGTGAATGATCCTCTTTAATGCACCATTTACCTTCTACAAGTTATTGAATTTCATAACTGTACTTGGATTTTAAGTAATGGATGAACCATGTTTTAGTATGCACAATTCGACAGTGTGTTTTGGTATTTGTCTCAGGGGACGTCCTCTGTACCAGCAGCCACCACTGTGTCTACAGTAACATCTGGAGATCTGGATCTGTTCACTGAACAAACGACCAAGTCAGAAGAGGTGACAAAGAAACAGCTCTCCAAAGACTCCATCTTGTCCCTGTATGGCGCAGGGGCCGTGCAGCCACAGAGCACTCCTGGTAATTCATTTTGAAGTCTGCTTTCAGGGACTGCATTGGCATTACTGGAAGTGAGCCTTTGTGGTTATAATATATCAAGTATATTTCTTCCCCATTTTTCTATGTAATGGATGCTTTTGTTGTTGCAATTTACACAACTGAAATGAATGAAGCATTAGAATTAAAAAGCAGGTACAAGAGACAAAACTTTATTCACTTAGAATTAACAAGCTCTTCACATATCACTTAATGTTGTTTCACAAGCTTTTAGGACATGGATTATCTTCGAATAATTATTTGAATTTGATTTGCATGAAGTTTATAACTGTACAGAATGGTATTTTTTCTGCAAGTAAACAATAAGCAGTCTGAATAATTACATGAATTCCAAAAACAGTTGATATTTAAAAAATAATTATAATACTAGCAAGGTAAGATTTGTTTACACAGTTTTAATCTGTCGGACTACCTCTTTTAACCCTTTGCATTCAACTGCCCCCTCTCAGGGGACATTGCAGTTTATTAGTGATTATGGGGAATTGAGTTAATTCAACGCACGTTTCGCAAAGTAGTGTCAAGTAGCTGGTAGCCAATGTCCAGAATGGTTTGGAGTGCAAAGGGTTAAAATGAGATCCCACCTGCTTCCCTTAAAGCCAGGCACAGTGAACTTGCACCTGTGCGTTTGGTAGCAGGAGACCAGTGGTTTAGGTTAGCGGAAACAGCACATCATCTAATGCCACGCAGGTTGGTCTTCACAATGGATATTTTTCTATCCATGTATTTATCCTAATTGCTCAGGTTCATCACTGATTTGTCTGCTTCTAAAAATATTCATCTCTGAGAGTATAGGCTATGAGTTGGTCCGAAAAGCCAGACAAGAACTAAAAATTTTGCTATGGGTAGTTCAGAAAAATGGCAATTGTTTTTCTGTGATTATAGAATTGAGTGCAGCTATACAGTAGCCCTGTTCTCTTCATTTTCTTTTCATGGTTCTTATGATACAGGTGTATTTATGGGACCCACAAATATACCATTTACCTCACAAGCACCGACTGCATTTCAAGGTTTTCCATCAATGGGTGTACCTGTGCCTGCAGCTCCTGGCCTTATGGGAAATGTGATGGGACAGAGTGCAAACATGATGGTGGGCATGCCCATCCCCAATGGGTTTATGGGGAATGCACAAACTGGTGTGATGCCACTGCCTCAGAATGTGATTGCCCCCCAAGGAGGAATGGTAGGACAGATGGGTGCACCCCCGAGTAAGTTTGGCCTGCCACAAGCTCAACAGCCCCAGTGGAACCTGTCGCAGGTAAGGATCTTTTATTCTTCACTTTATCCAGGATCGAAGAAATCAGACTTAACTTTCTAAATTGTTTTATTTGTATTTAAATCTAATAATCTGGCAGAAAGAGGAGGGATAATGAAGTTATATCAGACAAATGACCTGTCTTTGTCCCTATTTGATATTCTATAAAGAAGTATTTTTTTTTTCATTTCTAATATAACTGTAATGGTGGACATCCCTCATTTAGTTGTAACAGCTAGAAATTATCTTAGCATCTTAAGAAATTTCCTATCACCTTTGAAATTAGTAACATGCTTTGCCCAGCTCCCTGTGGGGCATTTATAGTCTACTTTGGACCTACCTGTCTTCACTAATTTGAGAAGGGGTGTAACTTTCATAAATTAGGGGAAAATCTTCCTGTTCAAAAATCTCTATAACATATTTCCTTTTTACTTATCCTGTAATTAGGTTTATATTTAAGAAGAGTACCCACTAGTTCAAGAATTCCCATAAGATGTGAACAAGTCCATATTTGTTTCAGATATCCCTTCATATTATAAAATCCTGTTTCTACCTAAGTTAGTTTAGACCAAGATATGACATTACTAGTACATTACATCTTTCAAATGACTTTCTCTATATTAGGTGCTCTGTCCTGACTTTTCTTCCCTTTACACTTCCTCTTTGGTGAGATCTCACCTGTTTTTAGCATTTTGGCTCCTGTTCTAGACAGGTGTTTCACCTTGAGAGCATTCAAGGAATATTCAATAATGATTTTTAACCAACATTAGCAAAATCACTATGTATCCTATGAATGCTCCCAACTTATTTTTACTATTTAAAGAAATATCTATATGACACTGGTCTCTCATCTCTGGGAATCTTAAAAAAATGTTAAGTACCAAGTGGCAGTAACAGCTTGTGTGTGCCAGAATGCTGAAGTAAGCTCAGGTTAATGTGCTGGATGAGCCAGGAAGGAGCCAAAGCTTACTTCCAGGCCTGCTGGAGGCTGTTCTCCAGTACTCCCTACATAAGAGCTATTGGCCAACGACAAGGTAGTTAAAACAACCTTCAGTAAGTATCGGAATTGATCTGTCGCTATAGACACTTATGCCTCATTAGAGTGATGTAATCCACATTAGTGTCTTTGCAAAACTGCAAACTAACTTGTTGAAAAGAATACAATCCAACCTTGAGCATATGTTTTAACTCCACTTTGTACATTGTAGTTCACTACTCTTGTCTTTCCTTAACCTGTCATCTTAGAAGTTAAGAACCACAAGGAAGGGTTAAGATGCTTATATACATACATGACTCCAGTGGAAGAAAACATTAAATCTTATACCTAATCAAATAATTACAATTTTAGATGTTTGACCTTTAATATTTACAAGGTATATAAAACCATTTAAGATGTTTTAAAACTGAATAATAGCTAGAATACACAATTTTTAATTTTGGAGTATTTTACCTTCTAAAATTTCCTTAGCTTTTAGTAAAGCACTTCTTGAGTTGACAGAATATTGGACTCATTATACCTAGATACAAATTGAAAGATTGCTTTGGCACTTTTTCAGTTGTGATTAATTTTTTGGGACAAGAAATTGAGTCTAGAAAATGAATAAATATAATACAGTGCTAAAAATGGGAAAAAAGCTGTAGATGGTTTGCTTTTACCAAGGAGCTATGACTGATTTTTACATGGACAAAAAAAAATACTCATTGTAATTGCTATTAAGCTTCAGTATCTCCTTGAGACAGCTTCTAATAAAATCGGGTACCTTAAAAACTGTCTAACTTTGGTTAAAGAAATAAGATTTAAAAGTGAAGTGAGCTGCTTAAACTGAGCCCTGTGTTACCTCACAGGTGAACCAGCAGATGGCTGGCATGAGTATGGGCACTGCGAGCCCCGCGCTGGGCTTTGCCCAGCCCCCCAACACCACAGCAGGATGGTCTGGAGGCTCATCGGGTCAGACTCTCAGCACACAGCTGTGGAAGTGAGGACTGCACACGAGTTTCATCCAGAGCTACCACCTACATTCCTTGCTGAAATGCATCTAAGTTCCCCTGTTTATTCATGTACATATATATTTTTTCTTTTTCCCCATTTGTTCACATTAAGAATTACCTGATTGTGTTGGTTTGTACTGATTAAATTTGATGTGATGAAAAGCAGGTTGAGAAACTATTTTATGTCCAGGGCAGCTTTGCTCATAGTTCCCGTAACTTCATAAACCACATTATTTGAGAAGCTGCTCAGTCAACTTGCATAATCAGTTTTACTCGATAAAATTATAGCTCTAATGTTTGCATATAAGGAAAATAGTTATCATGTTAGTAATACCTCTAACAGTATAAACCCCACCCCCAAATTAGCCAGTAATCTCGTAGGAAGGTTCTGTATGATCAAATGGTTAATCATAAATATCGATAGAATGTAAATGTATCACTGAGCACTGTTTTCTAGTGTATCAAAAGTCTTTTATTTCATCATTTCCTTCACTGTGCTATTGTTAACAGGGAACGTGGTTAGTGAAAGGAAGATAAACCTGGATGCTACTGTAAAACTTAGTTTAACAATATTTAAAGAATTTGAATTTTATCCGCCTCTTGTAATTTGGATCTCCTCTTATGTACATAGTGCTAATATGAAGATCTTTCTCTGCACTATATGCAAACAGGGTAACTAAACAAAGCCACTTTCAGTCCTTGAAGGTATATCCAGGTTTATGACAGTAATTGTGTTTACATTTTATGGTGCCTAGTACTGACAAAATGTTCTATCCCTATATTAAATAGATGAATCCATACTTTTTTTTTGTGGGTTTCATTTCCTACAGTGTATACTGCCATCAACCTTACATAAATTACTTAAAATATTTGTCATCTGTTTCTAAAACCTGTTCAGTTCTACCAAATATAAGGTCAAATGGGGAAAAAAAGAAAAGTATATAAGATACTATAAGTGGTACCTGCAGTGTCATTAGCTGTACTGTAAAAGATCTTCCAGTTTAGTTGTAGAGAAAACATGCAGAACAAATGAAGACAGAAACACATTTTATACCAACTGATTAGCTTATGTTAACTGACAAGTTCTGTCTAAACAGATGTCCATCAGATGTCAATAAAGGCTGTTGTACTGAAGTAAAATGAACAATACCTGAATGCTCTGTAGCTAATCTCCAAATGTCCTCTTCCACACCCACTGCTGCTCCCATTCACACCTCGATCTTCACTGTGTCCAGGTGGTACTTGGGCTCGTTGGCTAGATTAACCTTCTCTGTGCGAGTGTGCCACACGAGGACCTAGGGAGGGAGGGAAACCTGTGGGGTAGCCAGACTCAACGCCAGCATGCAGCTACATCAAGCAGCACATGTGAAGTGAATACCTTGGTGCAGTTATTTGCTTTCGGTTCCAGTTCTTCAACGGTGGTTATCTGTTTTAGAAAGTCAGATTCTTGCATCCCTGGCTGGGATCCACGGCGCTTAAATACAGCTTTTGGGTTGGACAAGATGACTTGAAGGCTTACAGCAAATCCTTTGGGAGAAGTTTAAAAAAAAAAAAAAAGCATAAAAAGAAACTTGAAAACATTGGTATACTTTTCTTTTTTCTATATAACCTTGGTCATATCAAGAGTAATTTTATATGCTACTATGTGCCAGGACCTAGTTCACAAAGTTGAAAAGGAGCATTACCTGTATTACAGTCTTAAGAAGAAAAACAGACATTACAATACAGTGTGCTTGGTGCCTTCACAGAGGTGTATATCGGCGGGGTGGGGATCTGTGAACAGTCTAGTCTTGATAATAAAGGGTGGATTCTACAAGCTGCTATTTCACAGGAGTCATCACACCCAACATCAGACACTCTGGGGACAGCTAAGACTAAAGGTAGCAGGAAAGCATTCACACTCAGCCTAATTGAGCTCGAGGTAATTATGCGAGAGCCCACCCAGTTCTGCCTCCTTTAACATCTCTGCCTGAGTGGATAATATACCACTGCTGGTTTTCCTTGCGTTCAGAAGACAGGGATAGAAGAAAGTTAGTTTGGTAGAACATGAATAATAAATACTTGGTTGGTTCCTGGTGTGGTTCAATCTGAAATATATGGGTGGGTTGGAAATCTGTAGGATATATTAGGCCATTTAATACATTTGTTTTTTTATATTTCATTTTAAAAATATGTAGTTTTATTAATTTCAGAGAGGAAAGAGAGGGAAAGAGGAAGGAGAGGGAAAGAGAAACATCAATAAGAGAATAATTGATCGGCTGTCTCCTGTACGCCCACACTGGGGATTGAGCCTGCAATCTGGACATGTGCCCTGACCTGGAATGAATCTGACCTGGTTCATCGGTTGACACTCAACCACTGAGCCATCCAGGTGGGGGGGGGGGGAATCACTCCTGCTCCCAGGCCCTTTCCTGGCTTCCCTGGCCAAGGGCATGGCCCTGAAAGGCTGGCACCCAGCAGAGATCTGAGCCGGCAGCTGACCAGAGGAGCCAAGTGGTTTTCTAGTTTCTGTCACGCAGTGAGGTGGGGCCTTTCAGATGCTCTTCACTCCCACCTCCCCTTTCTCTGCATGCTCCAGCTCAGTGACCTGACAGGAGGCAGGTCACAGGGAGCACAGCACACAGGAAGTGCTCACTAGGCCACGCCCTGGCTGCCTTTTGGGGAATCACCTGACCTGCTGTGAAGCTGGGAGAGAGCTCTCCCTCTGGATGCAGACTTTTAGCTCCTTAGCCATTGCTTTCAACCCAAGATGGAGATCTTGACTTGTCTCCATTTCAAACTGTATATGCCTCAAATATTACATTTACCCTTCACTATTTTTAGTGAAATTAATTTAGCTTTAAAGATGTTTGCAACGGCTATTGAGATATCCTGAGCCTTATAAAAATCATGGGGGTAGGATCCTCTGTCTGGTCAGTTGTGTAAAAAGTAAAGTACAAATTAAACCTGGTTATGCTATGAACGCAGGCTTTCCTGACTTCTAGTGGCATGGGGGACGGGTAAGGATATATTCCCTCTCGGTCAGAGGGACAGGGCCTGCTTTAGTAGGTGTTTATTGGTTAATAAATGGAAACATTTGGAAGACATTCAAAGTCCAACAAATAATTTCCGTTTGGGGACAAGATGGAGCAACAAGGCTGAGTTTTCCCTGTGTCTTATCTAAATCCAGATAAAATGTTTGGGGAAAGAGGCGTGCGGGACAAAGATCTCTGAAAAAGAAAAAGAAGCACAAGCCCTACAATTGCCTCGGCTTCTTGTCTGAAGGGAGTAGTCCACAGGCTCCACTGTGGGGAGGGAACTCTCAGCTCTGCAGTCCCTAAAGCTGAGGAAACACAGCAGGAGGCCGAATCAGTGAGAATCCACAGCACAGAGCCCCACAGAGAGCCTCTGGTCTGCAGAGGGCTCTCTCACGTCCGACTGAAGATCAGAAAATACTCTTGGAACTCCCTGCGGCCCAGTCAAGAGAAGCAGGTGGGCTGTTCTTGGCGCGCTCTCCGGGCTGGATCAGGTCACACTCCCAACAACCAGAGTGGAATGGTAGATGGGGAACCTGGAAGAGGAGCTGGAAGATTATTGTGTTCACTGTGGGGTCACATTAGCCCTAACCTAAAGGTTGAGCTGCCTATCCAACCTTTAAGAGCCAGCCCGGAAAGGATCACAATGCTTCCGAATAACTTAGTTGTATCCCAGAAAAATGTAAAATACACAAAAAGGGGAGGCAGTGCAGATACGTTTCACTCCTAATGTGGATGTGTGTGTATAAGTGTATGTATACATAATATATAAAACAAATGAGCATGTATCTTTATAGTACCTAGCAACATAAAATTCAAAATGCCTGATACAAAAATTCCCAGGTGTACAAAGAGACAAGAAACTATAATACTGTAAATAAAAGAAAAATCAGTCAACAGAAACAAACCCAGAAATGACATTGGTGGCAGAATTATAGAACAAGGGCATTAAAACATTATAAATATTCTTCATATATTCAGAAAGGTAGGGGGAGATTGAACATGCCAAGCAGAGATATGGAAGACATAAAAAGTCCAAAAGTGCTGGCCACAGTGGCTCAGTGATGGAGCATTGACCTATGAGCCAGGAGGTCATGGTCTGATTCACAGTCGGGGCATAAGCCTAGGTTGTGGGTTCAATCCCTAGTAGGGGGTATGCATGAGGCAGCAACCAATGATTCTCTCTCATTACTAATGTTTCTATCTCTCTTCCTTGCCCTTCCTCTCTGAAATCAATAAAAATTTACTTAAAAAATAAGGCTTAAAGTGATCTCATTGTGATGAAAAAATATGTCTTGAGATGAAAAACCTACTGGTTAGGATTAACACATGATAACATTAGAAGACAATGACAGAAACTACTAAAAGGAAACACAAACACGCATGCAAATATAGAAACAGAGTAAAGGAATGAAAAGTGGGAGAAGGTGATAGAAACATATATTTGAAGAAATAACTGAAAATTTTACAATTTTAAAAAATCCCAAGGCTACATAAGACAGACAATACTAACAACCAACTTGACATTCACAGAGCAAGCCACCCCAGGCAGAATGCACAATCTTTTCAAGTACACATGGTACATTATCAAGATAAGCTTATGGTAGGGCCATGAATCAAGTCTCAATAAATGTAAAAGAATACAGATTGTACAAAGTATTTCTCTGACCACATGGAATTAAAATAGAAATCAATAATATAAAGACATCTAAGAAAATCTAATATTTGGGAACTAAATGACATAATTCTAAAGATATGGCTCAAAGGAGGGATCAAAAGGGAATGAAAACAGAACAAGCCAACAAAACCTATGGATGGCATTTACAGCAGTATTTATAAGGAACATGAGCTTTTTTAAAAAGTACTAAGCACTTTTATTAGGTAAAAAGGAAGGTCTTGACTCAATATCTTAAGTTCCTGCCTTTATACACTAGAAAGAGTACATGAAACCCAAAGAGAATAGTAAGAAAATATATGAATAACTAAAAGAGCCAAAATCACAAACAGAAATGGAAAACAATAAAAGAAATAAGTGAAATTTAAACCATGCCCTTAGGGGGAAAAGGTCAACAAAACTGATAACATCTACCCATGCTTAGGGAAAAAAGAATACACAAATTACTATTTCAGAATGAGAGAGGAGAAGCAGTACACATTCTATAAAAAAATTCAATTGATAAGTATTATGAACAATTTTGTGGCAGTAAATTTCAAAATATAAAAATGGACAAATTCCTTGAAAGATATAAGCTATCAAAGCTTTCATTATCATGAAGAAATGGTCCGAATAGCCTTTTACCCATTAAATAAACTTATAGCTGAAAATCACAATCCTCCTCAAACTATTCCAAGAAAATCACAAGGAAGGAAGACGCCCAAGCTAATTTTACAAGGCCAGCATTATCCTAATTCCAAACCCTACACTACACAAAAAAAATTATAGGCCTGTTTCCCTGATGAACATAAATGCTAAAATCCTCAACAATATATTAGGAAGTTGGACCCAACACTATATTAAGAAGATCATACATCAGGAATAAGTGGGACTTATTCCAGGGATGCAAGGTTGGCACAATATTTGCAAATCAATAAATGTGATACATAAATAAAATGAAGGGTGAAAACACATGATCATATCAATAGATACAGGAAAAGCATTCGACAAAATCCAGCACCCATAAAGATAAAAACTCTCAACAAAGTAGGAATTGAGGAATCATACCTCAACATATAATAAAAGCCTTACATAAAAAATCTTTAGCCAATGTAATACTCAATAGGCAAAAACTGTTTCCTTTAAGATTAGGAACAAGACAGGGATGCCCACTTTCGCCACTCTTATTCAACACAGTGTTGGAAGTCATAGCCACAACAATCAGAAAAGAAGAAATAAAAGGCATCCAAATTGGGAAGGAGGAAGTAAAACTCCTTATTTGCAGATGACAAGGTATTGTATATAGAAAACCCTAAAGAACCCACCATAAAATACTAGATTTAATAAATTGGCAAGTAGTAGGATACAAAATCAACATCTAGAAATCAATGGCATTTTTATATCCCAATAATGAATTCTCAGAAAAGAGAACCCAAAAAACCAATCCCATTTACCATTGCAACAACAACAACAAAATAAGATACCTAGAAAAAAACATAAGCAGTAAAATCTCAGACATCTCTTGGAGCAATATTTTTTGCTCATTATGTCTCCAAGGAAAAGGGGAAATAAACAAATGGGACTACATCAGATCAAAAAGCTTCTGCACAGCTAAAGAAACCATCAGCAAAGCAAAAAGGTAATCCACAGTATGGGAGAACGTATTTGCCAATGATTCATCAGATAAGAGGCTAATCTCCAAAATATACAAAGAAGTTATACAACTCAATACCAGAAACACAAACAATCCTATTTTAAAAAATGGGCAAAGGCCTGACTAGACATTTCTCCAAAGAGGACATACAGATGCCCAAGAGACGTAAGAAAAAAATGCTCAAGGTCACTAATTATCAGAGATG